GATGCAATGACCTCATATCTTGAGTCCAGACCACGATGTGCACTCTCGTTGGAGAATGGTTCGACTAAAGCAAGACCCGGCTGTAGGCTGTACGATTTCGTGCAGGCTGGAACAGCTGGAAGGCCGGCTGGGCCTTCGAACAAATCCACCTGACTTGGCAAAATGCTGCAGGAGCTTCTTGAAGGATCAATATCATAAGTGCCTGGTCAGCAATACGAGTAGTTCGGCGAGAGCTCCAAGTTGAGATAGGCCCTGATTCTCACTTGTTGAGGCGGAACTTTGTCCAATGCGAATCAGCCCTTCACGCTTCATCGCGCTTCAATTGTTTTTGAGGGATTCTTTCGAGTCAAAATTCATAGCAAGCTTATCAAGTGATTGGCCATGTTGCGTCTAATCTTGATCCTCAATGTTTGGATCCTCGTGGTGGAGAGATGAATGCCGTCGACACACTAATATCTTCTAGTTTATCATGAGGAGTTCATACTAGGCATATCTCCTGCTTAATCATTGTTCATCAATGGTGCTATGGGACCGGTAATTTTACTCGCCACAAGTTTGATGGTTTTGAAGACATCATATTGCAGAGACATGATGTTGTATAAGCCTCTTCCAGAAAGACACATGTAAAATTCGCTATTTATGAATACTACTTCATTATATCCTATTTTACTCTTTCTACTTTTGGTACCGACTTTTCTCCTCCCTTACTTCGAAGTACCCATAGGCTTCTTCCGCATTGTTCCTCGAGTAAGATGGTTCAGGGGAGCTGGTTCATACTTCAACTTCTTCTTCTTCTTGTTCACTACCACGGGCACGACCTGGTTCTGAGCTGCGAGCAGAAGTGCACGTCGAGCTGCTGTTTGAACTGCTGTCTGGCCTGTGCCTTCCTCCGAGATAACAGAAAGAGGTCGGTGGGCAGTGTATGGCGGAGGATCGTAGCTGATAGGCCAAACTGCAGCATAAGGGTGCATATTATTCCCGGCGTTGACCACACGCGAGTGATTGCTCCCGTCGACAAATGTTGTAGAAGGGTCTGCTTGGCCACTGCTTCCTTCATGTTCGCTTCTGTGAGGGCTTTGGGAGCCGGATCTGCTGGAGTTGGGACTCGGTGTGTTCAGCTGAGATCCCTCAGCGTGCTCGTTCATCGTAGTGCCGCTATAGTGGGACGAGGCGCCGGGGCTGGTGTCCCGAGAGGTTGATTGGCTAGAGGGAACGGGCTTGCGTCTGATCTCGAGTGGTTTCAGGTGCTGATTTTGAAGATGAAGGTGCCACTGATCACCATATCTCTCTCGATAGGCGGCCTCGACGATCTGGTTGACGAGGGCTCGCTCTCTCATTCTCTCTTCTTCCATACTTTGCGTGAGTTGGGGAAGGCGTTCGTTTTCCTGCTGGATAGGAGCCAAATTCGTCGGAGCTTCATAGGTAGCTGGACCAACTGTGGCAGGAGAATATGGCATAGGCTGCTGCACATGGGTTAATGCTTGAGGAGGAGGCCTCGGTTTTCCCGCACCGGAACGACGGTTTCTGATAGATGCTAAGAGTCCCATGGTTGCGGTTTCCGAAGAGGTGATGTGAAATTATGATGACGACAGAAGTAATTAGTGACGTTGTTGTCCCAGAGATCCAATATGGATTAGATGTAACACAGATGCAGGTCAAAGGATGAAGGTGCGGATGGCAAGAAGAAGTGTCAAGGGGAATTTCACATAGCATACCTAGAGCAATACCCTTCGGAGATAGATCCAAAATGGCCCTACCTGACGTAAGGGACGACTCTGGTACTGACCACCGCGGCCTGGACTACCAAGAACGGTAGCGGACGTTAGAGTTGATGTTGAACTTTACGTGGACTTCGGAGAAAGGACCTTCAGACAAAACTCAATGTTAAGTCCCAAGGCATCAACAACGCATGGTATTTCATGAAGTGAAGCTTTCTCTGTCCACATTCTCTATGGGCTGTCTACCTCAGTTCTATCAGAGCTTCGCGCCAGCCTCGCGCTTCACAAGTGCCCTTAGATCTTTGCGCAAGATCTTTCCAGAGGGACTCTTTGGGATGGCATCGATAAAAATCACGCCGCCACGAAGTTTCTTGTAACTAGCAACCTGATCTGCCACCCACTTCTGGATTTCTTCTCCAGAAATCTTTTTCTTATCGGCGACCACATAAGCTCTAGAAGGACGTTAGTTCACTGGTTTATGCTGGCTAACGGAGTTGGAAGTTGCGTACCTTGGAAGCTCGGTGCCTTCGCCTTCGACGCCAATGACGGCCGCATCTTGGATCTTCGGATGCGTGACCAGTAATGCTTCAAGTTCGGCTGGAGCCACCTGGAAACCGTTGTATTTGATGAGTTCCTGAGGTTTGTTAGCTATAGTTTCATCCGAGGTAGCGCGTACCAAGAAAGCAAATAATACGAACCTTTTTCCGATCCACGAAGTAGAACTTTCCATCCTTGAACGACAATCGGTCGCCAGTGCAGAACCAACCATCAACAAATGCCTCCTTATTGGCCTTATCGTTCTTGTAGTACCCCTTGGTGATGATTGGCCCACGGCACCACATCTCGCCCGGCTGGCCAACCTCGACGTCCTTCCCCTCATCATCGACGAGCCGAGCTTCGCAGTTGGCCACAATCATGGACACGCTTCCCGTGTCATCTGTGAGATGGCGGGGAAGAATCGTGAACCCGCCGGTAGTTTCGCTGAGACCCCACGTCTGGCCGAGGATCGCTTTTCCCTTGCCCATTTTTCGCTGTGCTTCGGCTTGGGTTTCGCCTCCTAGAGCCGCAGCTCCCGTGAGGGCGAATTCCACGGTGTCGAGATGATCCTTGACCAGCGGTGATTTCGCAATCATGAGATAGATAGGCGGCACGCTGAAGAAGGATGTGATTTTGTACTTTTTCGCGTAGTCTAGAAATTCCACAAAGTTGAACTTCTTCATCCAGTAGACGATACCGCCCATGAAGGTCTGGTTGACGATGTAGGCTTGGAGACCAGAGATGTGAGCTGCCGGTAAATGTGCGAGCGTGATGTACTCCATCTTCGGGTGCGTCTTGTAATATTCTATCGTCGGCGTCGAGATGAACATGGTCTGCGCAATCATGTTTGCATGAGAGATTTTGACCGCCTTTGGGATACCAGTCGTGCCACTGCTGTAGATGTAACAGCCGACAGTGTTTTCGAGTCTCGTTTGGTCCGTCACCCGTTCCCAGTCGAGCTCCTGTGACGAAAGAGGCACACGCTTATCCGTCTTAGCCTCGAAGAGCTGGAACTCGTGGCTGTCGCCGATGTAGAGAATCCGATCGTCGGGTAGTCCCGCAGCTGATCCACCAGCAGCGGCGAGCGCCTTGAGGTCAGGGCTGCAGATGACCATCTTGCTCTCGGTGAGGTTGATCTGACGCGCGACCTCTGGCGGGGTTGAGGACGGCGTTGACGCCGCGACGGTGCCGCCCGCTGCCATGATACCGTAGAAGACGGTGGGAGCCATGTAGTGGCCTGTGAAGATGACCTGCACCACGTCACCCTTGTTGATGCCGTACTGGTGGCGGAGGGTGTGACCAAGCTGTTTGAGAGCCTTTACTAGGCGGGATTTGGTGATTGATCTGGATGGATCGGCCGCGTCGGCGTGGAGGACTGTGTCATCGCGGAGTCTTTCATTTGGTGAGTCTGCATCCTGTCAGCATGTGTGTTTGGCGAACGGTGGAGAATGCCGGTGTGTGTTGAAGGTCTGCGTGACTGTGAGACTCACCGAATAGAAATGTGAGGAGGTCGACTTTGGGGAGATCGATGTGATCCGGGGACTTGTAAATGGTCTGGCCGCCCCGCTTCTCTACAACAGTCGCCATCTTGAATGTTGCCGGTTTCCAAGATCTGGAACGCGTTGTTAGGATAATATCTCAGGCCTGTAACGTAGGTAGATAGGCCGTGTCTGAAGCTTGCTCTACTCTTAAGTATTTCCAGCTTGATGTGTGCTCGCGTCAACGCAGAAAGAGGGAGAGGTAGGTGAGATGGAGAGGAGATAAGCAGCTTCAAGAAGGTTAAATTGGAGTCAGGGTGAGACGTTGGAGGAAGTGATTGTCAGAGGTCAATGCACGCGGAACGAATTACTACTCAGTAAATCAGAGGTGAAGAAGTGAGTTTTTGGAGAAGAGCTGACCGAGAAAAGAAGACGTTGTGTGAATCGAGCAGCTCACTAAGATAGCTTTCCCCGCATTGCATCTGTTATCAAGATCCGGGCCCGTCTCATGCACCGAAGCCGTGGGAAGCCGCAGGTTAGTCCCCGCGCACGCGTTTCGCGAAACCATAGCTAATTAGAATGGCCGCCCAGTGCCGAGGATGATTCTACACAGAGGGAGGATCGTTGCTCTGCCCGCTCGCCGACGTTCCAGTCTGCTTACTCGTTGGGGTAACCGCTTCGTTAGCGTCGAGTCTCCGAAGCTTGCCAGCGTGTTGGCTGCGCCCTGACGCCCTTTGGTGGGGGAGAGCAAGCTTGACCGGGGTCGGTGTGTGTGTGTGTGTGTTTTGCCCTTTTGCCTTTAGGCTGTGGATGTGCGGGGAGATTCCGTGGCGTTGAGCTATGATCCCTGCTCTTCGTGCAAGCCTCTGCCGGATTTGAATCGAGGTTGACGAGTCAAAAGATCGAGGCATCTGATGTACAAGCGCTACTTCAGCTGAAATGTTTACCATTGACAAGACCTCGGGATAGTGACTTCGAGTGTGCGCATAGTCATGAGCTACGTCATGTATCCAGACTCAGGGCTCACAAATCTCAAATTTCCAAGAAACGCTCGCTGACCGAGATCTCTGGATCTAGGTGAACAGCGACTGCGCAAGACATCGTGTGATAAACAGGAAGAAACCACTATTGGTCAATGGCATGTCTTCCCAATCGGACAAGAAGTGATACTTGTCATTCCTTCTCTTCATACAAGTACCTAAGCACTTTACCTATTGCTATGTCCTCTCATCCAGTAGCTGAATCCTACAGGAGAACATGAAGGAACTCATCGAGAGTTAGGTGGTGACACTTTCTCATAGCCTCCTTCAAAAACATCCACCTCCGTCTTGTCAAACTGCCTCGTCGCGGTATTGTTGTGAAAGAGATAATCCAGCTCCTCGTACGTGCGCCCCTTTGTTTCCGGCAGCCGGAAAAATGCCCACACAAATGTGAGAAACGCCGAGGTTCCCCAGACGAAACCCGTAGTACCCTTGAGATTCAACGCGTTCGGATTGATAAAAAATGGCTGGAAGGCGTTTGCCAGTAGATTCATCACATAATAGGTAGACCTCGCGACACAAATGGTCTTCTGCCGTAGACGCGTAGATCCAACCTCGGCTGGGATAGCCCACCCAAGCTGACCGACCGATAGCTGGAAGATAAAAGTCCACACCAGGGTAAGACAGGCTTGGACCCAGCCTATGGGTGACGATGGTGCATTCGGCAACCGGCCTATCCTGTCGAGGACGCCGATGATGAAGAGTATAGTGGACATGCTAAACATGCCCCAGAGATAGATACGACGACGGCCAAAGTACGGCATCAGCGCGACCCAATTGACGACGGTTCCCACCAGAGCTAGCGCGGTACCGCCGACATTGAGGTTATAATCATCTTGCGGGTTCAGTCCGGCTTGCTGAAAGAAGTATACTGAGTTGTAGGCGAAGCTCGAGCCGGAGAGGACTTGGCCTGCGAATGCTACGCATGCGATCTCTGTGCGGCGACGTTCGACGCCGCGGAAGCAGTCCCAGTAGGTTGTTCCTGTCTGGTGCTCCTGCTCCATTCTATCGGTTTCTATGATTTCACGTAGACGGACTTTGGCGTCTAGGTTGTTAACTTTTCGCCTTTGGAGACGTAACAATGCCTTCTCCGCCTTGTCGAGCTGGCCGGTCCTGACAAGATGCCATGGGGACTCCGGAGCAAATACCAGCAGCGGGATAAGCAGTACTGGCCAGGACCATTGTAATGCGAACGGAATTCGATAGGACCACTCGTCTTTCCGCGGCAGTAGCCCCGCGAGCACGGCCGCGGACATGAGCTGGCCGATGATGAAGCACATATTGGTCCACGTAGTCAGATACACCCGCAGCGTCAACGGCAAGACCTCAGACGCATACGCGGGTGCTGAGGATGCGAAGACGCCCCAGGGCAGGCCGCACGCGATCTGACCAAGCATGAGCATGGTCTTATTGGTTGCAAAGAAGGTGATGAAGATGCAGCCGGAGAGTACGAAGAGAGAGCTGATGAGGGCTGTCTTTTGGCCGCACCGCTCAACGAGGAAGCCGTTGGCGATGACGCCGATGATGCAGCCAAAGGTGCTGCTGTTGCCGAGGACGGCTTGCCAGAGGGCGGAGAGCTGGTCTCGGCCTTCATTATCTTTGCCATCGCCGAACTTCTTTGCGAATTCTGGGTGGGCGAAGAAGCTGCCGATGAGGATGGTGTCGTAGCCTATAAACTCATTAGCTTGGAGTACTCACGTAGTTGTCTCTAATGTTGAACCGACCTTCCATGATCACACATAGAGACACGACGAGACTCCAGAATACGGCCATCGGGTAGGCGCGGATGGCATCTCGCGGCGTCATGTTCCGCTCGGCGTTGATGGCATCCTGGAACCGTTGATCCATCTCTGACCGGGACTTGGCCGGACGAGAGCCCGAGCCGGCGGATGGCCCGGCTGTGGAGATTTCTTCGAGCTCGATGTCATCCGAAAGAAGAGATACGGCATCCTCGTCGGATAGAAGTGCGAAAGCTTCGTCGTCGGCATCGTTGGGATCGGACGTTGAGTCAAAGGACGACCTCGAGGAGCTAGAGCCCGGCCCTGAGGGTCCCAAGGGGAGTGGCTTGAAGCGGGCGCCATCGCGAGAGGCGGAGGCCATTATGAGTCCAGTTGCAACTTATTGGCTCGGTGATTACAAGAGGGTGTCCTACGAGGCTCAAGGCTGTGAATTTGTGGCTCGCTCAGTTGCCCATAGCCGGAGGGTGATCGAAGCAGGCTGAGAGCTGGTGGTCAACGCTCCGGTGTGGAATGAAGCGATCTCATCACACTTGAATTTCTGCAAGATGAGTGACGATTCAATGCGACGATGGGTTCTGCTACTTCGACATTCAATGCGTATGTCGTTGTTAGCTGCGCAAAGATGGACATGGATGAGCGCATGCTGCGTCCCCGAATGCCGTCAGCGATGCGCCGCCGGATGAGCTGGGAGAGCACAGGCGCGTTTCAGACGAGTCCGATTACTGCCAGCTGGTGACAGACGCAGCCGGAGACATTTCGACATTGCGAAAATTGCAATGGCCGGTCGGCTCCAAAGTTAGCTCCTTCATGGGGAGCAACAAGTCATCTTTCGATGAACAAAACCACTGTCCACAAATATTTTCTCGGCCTTCCTTGACCATGAGATACTCAACTCCAGCTGACAAAGATAGGTAGTGACGCATGCAGCCTAATCCTTTCACGGCACGAAAGTCCCGGGTATGTTATTGCAAGAAACGGTGAGTTGTCTCATAAACTTCACAACGACAGGAGCTGGATTACTCAGATCTGGGATGCCTGTGGAGGGGAATTGCCCCAAATCAACAAAATGGGCAATTCAAAAGTCCGAAGCCTCGGAGCTGATGCATCCCAACGTGGCTAATTTACCCCCGAACCGCGCGGTGTGGATACCAACCAGCCACATCTGGTCAGGTTTCGGACCCTTTTAAGTTAGCTGATCCCAGGAGCTTAGCAATCAGCCACTCCATTTGTAAGTTGTCAGCAGCACTTTGGATGTTGTCTGTGCTCGCCGGATGCGTTTTCATGGTGGTGGAGGATCCAATGTCTCTGAAGGCTTACACACTATCCGGGTGCTGGAAGCAATAATGCATTGTTTGTTGAGCACGGAAACGGGAACACTACTTGTGTCTCATCGGAATCTGTCAGTATGTCAAAAATATTAAAGGATGGCATCTGCCCTCTTGTGGATGAAGGACAGCAGCAGAACACCACAGATCAATCACTCAAACACAAAGACAAATTAAGTATCGAAGCTCAAGAATCAACTTTTACTATAAATCGCCAGTCACCAATCCTCAATCGTTATACAGCATTGAATCACTTCAAAGTCAAAATTCAATCTAAAAATGTCTGGACAACAAGGACGCAAGATTGCCATCGTCGGTGCCAGTGGTAACCTCGGCGGGTTCACCCTCAACGCCCTCCTCGACAAGGGCATCCACACCATCACCGCCGTTTCCCGCGCCCAATCCTCCGCCACACTCCCAGCCGGCGTCATCGTCAAGAAGGGCGACTACTCTGACGAAAACTTCCTGGTTTCAGCGTTTCAAGGCCAGGATGTGCTGATCCTCCAACTCGGCTTCGACAGCTATATGACGGGCCAGGCGCCTCTCATCCGTGCTGCGGCCAAGGCCGGCGTCAAGTGGGTCGTGCCTACCGAATTCGGCTCCGACCCCGCGCCGTCCAAATTGCTCGAGGCCAGCCCCATGGTCGCGGGCAAGAAGCAGTTCCGCGATTTGACCGAGGAGCTGGGCCTGAGCTGGATCGCCATTGTCAACAACCCTTGGTTCGACTGGTCTCTTGGTCAGGGATTCTGGGGCATCGATATCAAGAACCGCTCTGCGAAGCTGTTTGATGGTGGAAACACCAAGTTCATCACCACCACTATTGGCACGACCGGAAAGGCCACCGCTGGTGTTCTGAGCCTGCCCGATGCTGAGCTTGAGCAGTTCCGGAACAGGCCTGTGTACTTGAAGTCTTTTTATATCAGCCAGAGGAATATGCTTGATAGCATCCTGCGAGCTACGGGCACGAAGGAGGCGGATTGGAAGGTTGAGATTTTGGACGCAGAGGCTGTTGTGGCTGATTCGAACGAGAAGTTCAAGAACGGGGATCACATGGCTATGTTGGTTGGCTTCTATGTCAACCACATGCGCGAGGGCTGGGGCGGTGACTACAGCGCCAAGGTCACCGACATGACCAAGCTTGGTGTGTCAGAGGAAGATCTGGATGAGGTTGTCAAGAGGGTTGTGAAGGAAATCGGGGCGTAGTGTATCCCCAACTGAATTTCTCGCAAAGTAATATCGTACTTGAGTACTCTACTTAGCAACCATTGAGTTTTACATGTAGTCTTATTCAGCTGATCGGAACAAGTGCGTCCACGTCGTGCATGGCTCTCACTTCAAATGTGCATTTGATACTGTTCAACTTTTCCATATGAGAAATAAGAAAGTAGAGTCTAAAATAGTTGAGTCCGCTAGGAACAATTGTCATTGCTGCCAATTAACCCACGTGCAGACAAGAAAACCCAGCAATTTGCAGATAACAAAGAAAATCTACCTAGTAAGCTTGGGGGAGTTGAAAACCTCAGACTTCCCACTTCGCCATGTACCAGCCCAGATCGTTTACTTTCCATGAGTCGGTACTCCTCCCCCCTCTAATACCAGCAACGATACCCTTCCGAGCCTCAACACACGACCTCTCAACGGTGCTAATAAGACCTGCTGGGCCAGAACTGTAGACCCAAGCATGTCCGGCGGAATCCATTTTTGTGTGCTGGCTGGCAATGAGAGCTCCACGGATACATGAGGTGGGATCCAAACGGCCACTTTCCGAACTCACGTGGGCAACCACAGTAAGCTCCGGAACCGAAGATGCTGCCTCTTGAAGTTGAGCCCACTCCGTGATCGTCGTAGCCTCCTTATGACGCACAGCCCATACGAGAGCGAAGGCGGAGTTCGCTGGCCTCTTGTCCAACCACCATGATGCTAGACTCAAGGCGCCGGTGATTCCTGTTCCACCTACAATACAGACGATGTGGGAGGCACTCTTGAATCCGTCGTCGCCGACTCTGTAGGGCCCTTCAACTCGGACTTCAAGAGGTGTGCTCCCAAATGGTTGAGGAACGAGGGCGCCCAACCTCCAAGTCCACTCCTTGTTCAGCCTCTTTTGCTTCTTTCCGGTAGTGGGTTGCAAGAGGAAAGTGGGACCAGCTCCGGTGGAAGCAGAAACTGCAGCGGTGAATGCGTGGTTCTGTAATTTGCTGATGGATGGGATGCTGAGATAGTAGTAGCTAAGAGGTTCGTGCAGAGTTTCTCCCTTCTCCTGGACGAGGTCAAAAGTGCTCGCTGATGCGTTGTTTGAGACTGGCAGGTGTGTGGATATCCTGAGCCAATTGTTGCCTGCATTTTCCAGAGTCGCACCGGTCTTCGAGGCGAGACCGCCTGCCTGTCCGCCAAAGAGTCTACATGTCCAGTCGGCGACCCAGAGGTAGAGTCCCGGAAGAAGGAGATAGAAGTCGGTACTGGCATGGATGCATGCCGCGACGAAAATGATCAGACCGAATATGACATGGGTGTAGTAAAAGAAGTTGTAGTGGGTTCTCCGAATCCATGGAAGCGAGGTGACGATGATCAACCACACGGGCAAGATGGCAGCTATACCGGTGTATGTGGTCATGGTGAACCATTCGCTTCTTTGCTTGCTCTCCGACAGAGTCATTGCCGGATTGCCTGTGGCAAATGCTTCCTCCTTTGCCTCATCGCCGTCGCTGCTGGAATCTGTTGCATAAGTCAACATACCCACTTCCTGGCACCCCCCTGTTTCTGGCACCACAAAAACGATGGGATCACAACCCAACCTCCTCATTACTATTAACTATTGATCCTCAACCACACCCACTACAATACAGCTGCCAGCCTCACTAGGGCATTCAGAGTCGCTGGATTCAGCCGTGATAACCTCCTTTTCACCCGCTTCGATTTGAGCCCGATGGATATCCCTGATGTTCGCGAACTTCGTATTGGGATCG